GCCCTCCCTATTTACAGTAAATGGTATCACTACTCACCTGGTTGCTCAGGCCCTTTTGGTGTGCTGTGTGACCCCTCTGTCTCTCAGACCCTGTATCCAAACCCCCAGCAAATACTTTTGCCACTACCTTCAAAATATATCTGGAATCGGTCCACTTCTCACCACCCCACAGCTGCCAGCCTAGTCCAGGCCATCCTTCTTTCTTGCCCATCCTTCTACGGTAACTACCTACTTTTCTCCTTGCCTAGTTCCTGCCTGTCAACGGGTTTTCCTCCACCCAACAGTTAGACAATTCTATTAAAAGATAAGTCACAAAAATAAATAAATAAAAATAAAGATAAGTCACATTATGTCATTCCCCTGCTCTAAACCCTCCAGTGGCTTCCCCTTACACTTAGAACAAAAGCCAAAATCTCATTTATCTAACCCTTAAGACCTTACATGTCCTGGCCTTGCCTGCCCTTCCCTGCTCATTCTCCTGCTCCAGTCAGATTAGAGGAGCAGCTTTGTAGCTCCCCAAACCTGTCAAGCATATTGCCATTTGCAGAGGCTGTGCATTTGCTGGACCCTCTGCCGGTTACACACCTCCCGCCTCATTCACTGGGTTTGCTTCCTCCCTTCATCCACAACTCTGCTCACTAGGCTTTCCCTGACCCACCCTAAGAGAGAACCCTCACCATTCCATCTTACACCCTCTCCTCTGCTTCATTCCTCCTAATAGCACTTACCACTGTATGACATTCATTTTCATCAGTTTATTATAAACATGTAAGCCCCATGAATACAGGATATTTGTTCGTCTCTGTAGCCCCAGGGCTGTGAACAGTGCCAGGCACATAGTATTGAATAAATATTTGCTGAATTAATTAATGAATAATTTCCTAGACATTAGATCTCTTGCTTTCACTCATTCTCTTTTCACTGAATACATAAATAAACAGTTGGCTCAGTGTGTGTGTGTGTGTTTCATGTTGGTGTAAGCCACTCCTTGCTTATTTAGCCAAAGCTTACATCAGTTTCATAGCAGTAGAAAATAAGGGAGGCTGGGAGCTACATGATAGAACTTATGAACACAAAGAAGGAAACAACAGACACTGGGGTCTACTTGAGGGTGAAGGGAGGGAGGAGGGAAAGCAGCAGGAAAGAGAACTGTTGGGTACCTGGGTGATGAAATAATCTGTACAACAAATCCCTGTGACATGAATTTACCTATGCAACAAACCTTCACATGTACGCCTGAACCCAAAATAAAAGTTAAACAAATTTAACATAATCACGATAGAAAACAGTATGGAAGTTCCTCAAATGATTCAAAATAGAATGACCATATTCCAGCAATCTCAGTTCTAGGTATATAGTCAAAGGAAATAAAATCACTGTTTTGAAGAAAAAAAAAAAATAAGGGAGGTAGGGTCATATTTACCTAATATATACCCTAGTACTCTGATGAAATCAGGATGCACTAGATGACTTTAAATGCAGAGCTTTCAAGTTTGTTTTCCTTGCTTTTCTCCATCATTTATATGTACTGGGCAAGTCTGGTCAAAAAATAACCACAGAATCTGATACATTGCCTCAGTTTCACCAGTGTAACTGAGAATAAGATTGGGTCTGAGAGGAACAGACCCAAGCAAAGAAGCCTGCACTTTCCCGTTTCCACTCTCAGATCCATCTCGTTTCCGTGAGGACTGCCGGGTGCGTGGATTTTATTTATTTATTTATTGCGACTGAGTTTCACTCTTGTTGCCCCGGCTGGAGTGCAATGGTGCGATCTCAGCTCACCACAACCTCCACCTCCCGGGTTCAAGCGATTCTCCTGCCTCAGCCTCCCAAGTAGCTGGGATTACAGGCATGCACCACCACCCCCAGCTAATTTTGTATTTTTAGTAGAGACGGCATTTCTCCATGTTGGCCAGGCTGATCTCGAACTCCCGACCTCAGGTGATCCACCTGCCTCAGCCTCCCAAAGTGCTGGGATTACAGGCTTGAGCCACTGTGCCCAGCCATGGATTCTTTTTATTACACATTCTGCCATATTCTTTTGTATTACAAACCAAGTCATCTGAGTCTCAGGAACCCCACCTGTCCTGCGGGTTGCTATGTATAGCTAAGACCTTCCATTGATCTATTGAGCTGCATTTCTGGCCCTGGATCACCCTTCACACTTTTTAAAAAAATTTATTTTTATCCTATTTATTTAAGGGGTACGGTGTGATGTTTTGATATGCAAGTTCTGATAGGAGAAAAACATGTATTAACACACAGCAATTAAAATTCTAGCAATTGGTAAAGGTTGGCTGATGTTCTTAGAATCATCTAGTCTAGTGGTTCTCAAACCGGGTTACTTAACAGAACCACCTGGACTGCCTTTCAGAAATATAGGTTTCAGGTCCTGCTCTAGCTCTGGGGTTGGGATAGAGCTCTGGTGTGTCTGGCGTGGTACATACCACACACATTGTCTCTCTCTCTCTCTTTCTCTCTCTCTCTCAGATCACATATATTCCTTGTGATAGTAAGTGTTGTGAAGCAAACAAAGGGCAGAAAAATAGGAGTAAAGATGATAAGAAGGGTTTTCTGAGAAGGTGTATTTAGTCTGTGATGGGAAGTATTAGGGGAAGAACATTTTGGGCAGGAAATAGCATAGTGTGTTCACAGAATTAAAAGCAGACCAGGGTGGCTGGAGCACAGCGAATGAGTAAGGGAAGAGCTCTGCTTCAGTGGGGGGAAGGGGCTGAGGCTGCGTCACAGAGGCCTTGCACACACCAAGGAAGAGTCTGAGTTTTGTTTTGAGTGCCATCATTCTCTTAAGAACTATGGAGAATGGATTGTAAGAGAACAAAAGTGGAAGCTGTGAGACCCAAACAGTTCTCTGATGATAAAAGGGACTATACTGGTGGCATCAAAGATGGAGAGGAGAAGGCAGTTTCAGGGTATATGTTTTAGGGAAGTCAACAGGACTTGCTGACGAAAATCGGAAGTGGAGTGAGGGAGAGAATGGGGGAAGCAAGAATGATGCCGAAGAGATTCCATTAGAGGCAGTATAGGGTATGGTCGAGTGCCCAGTTCCCTTATCTGCAAAATGGGGTACTAAGGTACCTCTCTGGGTTGGTGGCAAGTTGACATTTGTAAAGCACTTAGACAGAGTTTGGCACATGGTAAAACACTGTGTAAATATTAGAAGTGATTTGGATGATGTTTATTCATCCAAGGTCGCACAGCTGGTCAGCAGCAGGTCCAGGACAAGAAGCCAAGGCTTAGACTCTTGGTTTAGTGCATTTTATGCTACACTGAGCTGCCTCCTTCAATTTATGCCTCCTTTGAACTTATTTATGCAGACTCTTGGTAGAGGGGTTTGGTCCTCATGGTACACGAAGAATTGCACTTATCATAACACATGAGTGTTGTACCAGACATGATAAATTGCTAGGGTTGGCGGGGCATGGTGGCTCACACCTATAATTCCAGCACTTTGGGAGGCCCAGGTGGGCGGATCACTTGAGGTTGGGAGTTTGAGACCAGCCTGGCCAACATGGTGAAACCCTTTCTCTACTAAAAACACAAAATTAGCTGGGCATGGTGGAGGGTGCCTATAATCCCTGTTACTAGGGAGGCCGAGGCAGGAGAATCGCTTGAACCTGGGAGACAGAGGTTGCAGTGAGCTGAGATTGCGCCACTGCACTCCAGCCTGGGCAACAGAGTGAGACTCTATCTCAAAAAATAAAAATAATAAAAAATAAATTGCTAGGGTTTCCTGCACAGGTGGATGTTCAGATTATTTTGGCTATCCATAAAATGGTGCCATTCCAGACAAAACACAGGGCCTGGATGGTCGGAGGAAGGGGGTGCTGGAAGAGAGATGTTCTGTGTATAGATTGAAGTATTAAAAGAAATATCTTCCAGAATGCATTCATGTTGTTCAGACGCTTAGACTGGAGTAGGCACATGGATGACAACAGGAGATGGTATTAAGAGTCTTTAATACTGGAAGTTATAGGTCAGTGCATGCCAGGAGAAGGAAAGAAATGCAGCTAAGACTGCTAGTGTAACTCCCCCAGATTGTCAGTTTTCTAGTGATATATCTTAAAGAAGTGTTTGAAGTGCTTCTATCTGTCAGTTTCAACTAAGCTAATTTAAAAAAGTTGTTCTTTGTACTGTGCCTGTCTCATGAACCTCTTTGAGTTTAATGCATGCAATATGTGGGTGAAAATCCTATCAGCCTCAGTCCCCATCCCCCAAAGTCTGAGAAGCAGATTTTAGAAACACATTGTTGCACCTGTGAGGATTTGTCATTTTATTAAATTGGGCCTGAGACCATTTTCAATGTGCCTCATCAAAAGAATTTCAGAAAGAGGTGAGAGAAAATGCCAGCCCGGCCCTTCCTCCCTCATGTTGATTGTCTGTTTTGTTGCACCTCTATCTCAAACAGCATGGGGAGGACTGTTCTTCATTACCAGGGAATGTGAGTCATTCCCAGATTTGTGTGATTGGGATTCCAAAGCATTGCTGTATCCGATGGTCTTATTAAATCCAAGTGTCAGTGCAGCTTTTCAGACTGTAGGGGAGAGCTCAGTTACAGCTGGTGACCTGGTTCTAGTTACCACACAGAGACACTGGCTAGAGCAGTGACCCCCTCCGAGTACCCAGAATTCCACATGGATGGCTGTTACCAACTGTTCCCAGATTTGGGGGTTTCCTGGTTCACTTCATGGGCTTCAGTACACTTCAATTCCCTGTTTATGTCCTAGTTGGGATCTGTATACTTTAGGGGAAAATGTTCTAGTGTCTGTAGATAAGCTAGTGCCAAGATTAGCCTAGCTTTTTGAGGGTACCTTGTTTCAGATTTGTTCAGCCCCAGAAGTGTTAACTGCACTGTGTCCAGGATCTAGCAAGACACTATCCATTTCCAACTTGGTCCAAACAAAACAAAACATCAACCAAAGAGGGAGGAAACTATGAATGTTGCCAGAAAATTAGTTTGCTCTGTCTTTTCTTTCTTCTAGAGTGTTTCACAGCCAATGGTGCGGATTATAGGGGAACACAGAACTGGACAGCACTACAAGGCGGGAAGCCATGTCTGTTTTGGAACGAGACTTTCCAGCATCCATACAACACTCTGAAATACCCCAACGGGGAGGGGGGCCTGGGTGAGCACAACTATTGCAGGTAAGATGGGACCACTCAGTACTTTAAAACAATAGATATATATCTGGTCTCTTCTTCCAACCCCTTTCATCCCAGCTCACAACTAGGGAAAGTCTTTTGGCCAACTCAAGAGACTTATCTTGTCAGTTTTTAAAATATTTCTTCCACACCTTACACACACACACACAAATACACACAAATTTACCATTGTTTTCAACATGGGTTGCTTTAATGCTGGCTTTCAAAGCTCTGCTTTTCTGTCTGATCACTTCTTTGTCTCTTTTGAAGGGTTTTCTTAGTTAGCCCTACCACCAGTGGACAATACACAGTTAGCAGAGCAGCCTACGCTACTGAGAATGTTGTGGTCAAACAGCACCATCTGTGACCGAAAACTCCCTCTGCTTCTGAGCAAAGGAAGCTGCCTACATTATTCTACCTCCGGCCAGCCCAGGATAACCTTGCTCTGGGAACAGCTGTATCCAACAGATGTGTGCCATTTACTTCCTTTTAGTAGACTAAGGTGTTAACTTCGCTTTTCACCTCCTGTCTGACTCTAGCAGGGGATCTTAACCTGACATCCATGGTGCTTCAAATGTGTATTCACAATTTCCTGGAGATGATCCATAGCTTTGATCAGCTTCTCAGAGTTATCTGTGATTGAAAACAAATTCAGGATCACTGATATGTAGGGTCCAGAACAAAGATTGTAAGCACTTTTGGTTATACATTTGTGCCGCTTATGCCCAAGATCCTGGTAGTGAGACTCATGGTTCAGCAATGCATTGAATTTAATTATTAGTAGGACAGGTGCAAAGGCAGCCTCTTGAGCCATTGGGATAGGGGAAAATGATTGTTGAACTATACACCGTGTCCCTGGTTCTACATACATTGGAATCTCAACCATGGCACTATTGACGCAGCTGAGCCAACATATATTTTCCTGTATTGTGTGGGCCACACTGTTTACCTTCTGCCATCTGCATACCTTTGCTAACACTCTAGGGCCCTTGTAGTTGTCTCAAAGTCACCAGGCCTTTAGTCTATGGTTTCTTTATCCCTATACCTTTGCCTATCTTGTATCAACTGACCATTCCCTCCTAGTTGCTATTGACTTATTTTGTTTGTTATAAAAGTGTTAAAAGCTTGTTCTTAAAAAAAAAAAAAAACTTCTCAAACAGTACAAATATATGTTATTTAAATAGTTAGAGTTCCCCATTTTACCTATTTTCCCTGAAACCCTCCCCACCAAGTCCCAAGTCCCAGAGACAACCAATTTGGGTATTTGCCCCTTCAACATTTTGCTATCTGTTGTCTTTTATTGTTCAAGTTACATGCTCATTAAATAATTCTTTTATATTTTATTTTCCAAGTTATACATGTTAATTTATCTTTTGCATAAATTAAAAAATTAGTCCCACCCCAATTTTTATTACCTTCCCATAGGTTTTCTATTCATAGGAATAGTTGGTTGGGTTGAGAAGAGTGTTTAGGAAGAGAGACAAGTATTTGGTTTTTGTTTTTCCATAGTTACTCATCTTCTTGTTCCACAGTGTCTCTTGGTAGTAGGCTGTTGGTTTATTCCATTGCTCTGTTGCTTCCTATCAAGCAAGTCTTCTCAGAAGAGCTCATGTTTTTAAGTCTGACTTTAAGGTAAATTTTAAGTTTCCAGTGAGGCCTAATTTATGTGAAAAATTTTTCTTTCGTGTGGATTAGCACCCACTTCTACTCACAGGCTCCTAGAAATGTACTGTAAACATCCATTAAGAGAGCAGTGAGAGCCAGGAGGGACCACCTTTCTCCTTAGCCCTGGTCAGCCATCACATCAAACCCTCTCGTTTGATTTGATGGAATGCAGGAGACCTGAACTATTTAATACCAGTTTGTACTTTGGAAAAGGGAGGCTGAAATTGTTGATTATCACATCAAAGAGTCCAGGCCCTTTGTTTTAGCACTGCAGCAAAGTCAAGGATGAATTTGCTTGTTCTTTATTAAGCTATTCTGATGCTTTTCAATATGGTTTTGACATTGGTAATAAACAGTTTTCTAAGGGCTTTACCAAATAAATACATCAAAGCTGAACACTGAATAAAGGGAGGAAAATGACAGTAAAATACTGTTTAAAGAAGGGCTTTGTACAAGTTTTCCTACTTTGATTTCTCAGCTGACACCCGACACCATGTTTGTTTTGTGTGACTTTTTCAGACCCATCACATTAGAGATGTCTGAGAGTTGGCGAGTGATGGGAATGCACTTTTCTGGGCTCAAAGTAACTGGCTTAGAAGGGAAGGCAGAGACTGGGGAAGAGCAGAGTTGGTGCTGGCACCTGCCTTTGGGCACAAGAAACAAAAGGACGCTTTGTACTTTGGGAAAGCTTATCTTCTAGGCTACACGGTAGGCTTAGTCCACTCTGGCCTGATAGGGGTTACTCCCAGCTCCTGTTGCAGGATCTTTATGCCCATTTCCGGCCTAACCGGAGTGTCAGCTTTCCAGTGTTCTGAGTCTAAATAAAAGGGGCTTGGAAAGCAGTGAAGAGAGGCAAGGCTTTTCTGTGTGTCCAGTAGCCCCTGCCATTTTATTTATCTGCTTCAGTAGTGTTGCTTGTTATTGTTATGCCACCTATGAGTTGGAAAGACCTTAAAGCGTATTTACTCCAGGCCATTCTCATTTAGAAATGTGAAATAGATCTTTAAAAATATTATCTCCATATCAGAAGTTGGTACCTCATGACAGGATCACAAGTTCTAGCTGAGACTGACGCAGTTTTCTTCAGTATTCTCTGAGGAGTCAGCATTTTGAGGAAGGAATAGCACCCATTTCTAGCAAATGTGAGCCTGATCCTGGTGAAAGCTTGTCAGTGGAGTCTTTATTTTATTTTTATTTTTATTTTTTAATTTTTGAGACAGAGTTTTGCTCTTGTTGCACCCAGCCCAGTGGAGTCTTTATTAAGTGAGTTCTATTTTACTGTTTAAAAATTACACCATTGGAGTATTCAATATAGAGGAAATAAAATAAAACCAGAAAAGAAAAAAGTCGAAATCACCAATAGTTCCAGTGTCTAGAGACACTTTATAAGAGTTTGGTGTACATTCTTTCCTAAATAAGTCTTTTCAAAACATGGGATTATGTCATCTATTGGGTTTTATAACTGCCTCTTTAAAAACACATCTAAGAAGGCTGGGCATGGTGGCTCACGCCTGTAATCTCAGCACTTTGGAAGGCTGAGATGGGTGGATCACTTGAGGTCAGGAGTTGGAGACCAGACTGGCCAACATGGTGAAACCCCACCTCTACTAAAAACAAAAAAAACAAAAATTAGCCAGGCATGGCGGTGGGCACCTATAGTCCCAGCTACTTGGGAGGCGTGAGGCAGGAGAATCGCTTGAGCCTGGGAGTTGGAGGTTGCAGTGAACCGAGATCATGCCACTGCACTCCAGCCCGGGTGACAGAGTGAGAGTCCGTCTCAAAAAAAAAAAAAAAAAGCCTCACAAGGCATTGTGAATATATTTGCAAATTAATAAGACTGGTCTCTATATCACATATTCCCTTCTATGGATATACAATTTATTTAACCAGTCCTTTGTTGTTGGATATTTGCTATTTCCACCTGTTTTTTTATATTATAAAAGTGTTTTGTTGAACATCTTTATAGATAAGATTTCCTTAGAATAAATTCCTAAAGAGGAAATTGCCAAGTGGGGGGCTTGCATATTTCTAGGTCCTTTGGCTCTAATTCCCAAATTGCTGCTCTGACCATTTGTGTCAGTTCGCATATTCATCAGCAGCGCTGAGAGCCCCTATGCTCACTCAGCCTTGGAATCTCCACGTTCACATTCAAGGTGCCAGTGCTATTTGGCATGATGTGTGCAGTGGCCATTTGTCCTAGTTATACTACAGTGAATTTGCCTAAACATATATTACCTTTGCTCACTTCCCCCCAAACTCTGAAGTATCTGTCAGAGCAGATATATTTGTTCTTGTAATATTACCATTTTTTCCCTTTTGATGAGAGACAGCACTGAGATACAGACCAACTATTAGAGAGAATACAGAAGCTAAAGCATTTCCTTTTCTGTAAAACTGAAAAGCAATGAACCAGCTGAATTAAAACATCAGGAGTCGGCCGGGCGCGGTGGCTCAAGCCTGTAATCCCAGCACTTTGGGAGGCCGAGATGGGCGGATCACGAGGTCAGGAGATCGAGACCATCCTGGCTAACCCGGTGAAACTCCGTCTCTACTAAAACATACAAACAAAAAACTAGCCGGGCGAGGTGGCGGGTGCCTGTAGTCCCAGCTACTCGGGAGGCTGAGGCAGGAGAATGGCGTGAACCCAGGAGGCGGAGCTTGCAGTGAGCTGAGATCCGGCCACTGCACTCCAGCCTGGGCGACAGAGCGAGATTCCGTCTCAAAAAAAAAAACAAAAAAACAAAAAAACAAAAAACATCAGGAGTCATCAGTTTTGTCCTTTTCCCCAACAGAAACCCAGATGGAGACGTGAGCCCCTGGTGCTATGTGGCAGAGCACGAGGATGGTGTCTACTGGAAGTACTGTGAGATACCTGCTTGCCAGAGTAAGACTGTAATACCCAATGTGATGGTTTACAGGACTGTGAACACTAAGAGTGCGGAGAGGGAGGCCCGTGCCAGAGTCAGGTAGTTAGGCTGGTGGATTTCATGGAGCATGTGAAAGGAGAAGCCCTCCTGGGCTGAGGATTTTCACTTCTCTTGTTGAGGCTTTTCAGGAATAGGAATGCTGATTTCCTTGGCACCTCATTCTAAAGGTATTCCCTTGATGGGTAAGCCCCATGAGAATTCCTACTTTTGGTCAATTTCTGATTCTTTCAGGGATAGAGAGGGCAACCGCTCAGAAGCAGGCTAGGGGAAAAAGTATTTTGTACTTTTTGGAATGAACATCTTTATACATAGTGAAACTCAGTGATGGCACTACTTATTATTTGGATTTGAATAGGTCCCCAGAAGTGATATTTGGTAAATACCTTGTTAAATACCATACAAAGCTGATGTGGTAGTTCTTTTACCCACATTAGCCTAACATGTTCTACTGTTTATAACTCACAACCCAGTTTCTTCAGCCTTTTACTAAAATGCCTGTTTTCTAACTGTTTCATTCATTTATTCCCTGGTTTTGTTTTGTTTTGTTTTGTTTTTTTGAGACAGAGTCTTGCTGTGTCTCCAGGCTGGAGTGCTGTGGTGCGATCTCAGCTCACTGCAACCTCCGCCTCCTGGGTTCAAGTGATTCTCCTGCCTCAGCTTCCTCAGTAGCTGGAACTACAGGCATGTGCCATCATGCCCAGATAATTTTTGTATTTTAGTAGAGATGGGGTTTCACCATGTTGGCCAGGATGGTCTCCATCCCCTGACCTCATGATCCAAAGTGCTGGGATTACAGGTGTGAGCCACCGCACCCGGCACCTGTATTCACTGTTTATTATATGCAAACTACAAAGACAATAGGATACGCTGACCTTCGGGAGTGTATGGTGTAGGAGGAATCTTAAAAAGATACAGTCATGCACCACACAAAACAGACCACATATACAATGGTGGTCCCATATGGAGTATTTAAACTGATTGTTCAGTCAGTTACAGATCACACTTCTTTTTCTACTCTTCTTTCTTCCTTCTTTCTTCCCTTCTCACTACTGCACTTGACTAATCTTTTTTTTTTTTTTTTTTTGACACAGAGTCTCACTCTGTCGCCCAGGCTGGAGTGCAGTGGTGCCATCTCGGCTCACTGCAATCTCCACCTCCTGGGTTCAAGTGATTCTCCTGCCTCAGCCTCCCAAGTAGCTGGGATTACAGGCATGTGCCACCATGCCTGGCTAATTTTGTATTTTTAGTAGGGACGGAGTTTCTCCATGTGGTCAGGCTGGTCTTGAACTCCTGACCTCAGGTGATCCGCCCGCCTTGGCCTCCCAAAGTGCTGCGATTACAGGCATGGACTAGTCTTTATATATGTGTATAAAGATTATAATGGAGCTGAAAAATTTCTGTTGCCTACTGATGTTATAGTGCAACACGTTACTCATGTGTTTGTGGTGATGCTGGTACAAATAAATCCACTGTACTTCCAGTCACACAGAAGTATAACATATACAATTATATATAGTACATACTTGATAATGATAGTAAACAACTATGTTACTGGTTTATGTATTTACCATACTATATTTTTACTATTATTTTAGAGTATATTTCTTCTACTTATTAAAAGTAGTTAACTGTGAAACAGCCTCAGGCAGGTCCTTCCGGAGGTATTCCAGAAGAAGGCATTGTTTTCACAGGAGATGACAGCTCCATGTGTGTTATTGTCCCCTTCCAGTGGGACAAAATGTGGAGGTGGAAGACAGTGATACTGATGATCCTGACTTTGTGTGGCCTAGGTTATTGTGTGTGTTTGTGTCTTAGTTTTTAACAAAAAAGTTTAAAAAGTAAACGAAAGTAAAACATTTTAAAAATATAATAAAAAAAACTTATAGAAGAAGGATATAAAGGCTGGGCATGTTGGCTCACACCTGTAATCCCAGCACTTTGGGAGGCTGAAGCGGGCAGATCACTTGAAGCCAGGAGTTCCAGACCAGCTTGGCCAACATAGTAAAACCCCATCTCTACTAAAAACACAAAAATTAGCCAGGTTTGTTGGCATGCACCTGTAATCCCAGGTACTTGGGAGGCTGAGCAACAAGAATCACTTGAACCTGGGAGGCAAAGATTGCATTGAGCCGAGATCATGCCACTGCACTCCAGTCTGGCCAACACAAGAGTCTGTTTCCAAAAAAAAAAAAAAAAAGAAAAAGAAGGATATAAAGAAAGGAAGAAAATATTTTTGTACAGCTATACAATGTGTGTTGTAAGCTAAGTGTTATTATGAAATACTCAAAATGCTAAAGTAATTAAAAAGTTTATAAAGTAAAAAAGTTACAGTAGCTAAGGTTAATTTATTATTCAAGAAAAATAGTTTTTAATGAATTTAGTGTAGCCTAAATGTTCAGTGTTTATAAAGTCTACAGTAATGTACAGTAATGTCCTAGGCCTTCACATTCACTCACCACTCACTCACTGACTCACCCAGAGCAACTTGCAGTCTTGCAGGCTCCATTCATGGCAAGTGCCATGATACAGGTAAACGAATTTTTATCTCGTATACAGTATTTTTACTGTACCTTTTCTATGTTTAGATATGCTTAGATACATAAGTACTTACCATTGTGTTACAGTTGCCTACGGTATTCAGTACAGTAACATGCTGCTCAGATTTGTAGCCTAGGAGTGACAGGCTATCCCATTATAGACTAGGTGTGTAGTAGGCTATCCCATCTCAGTTTGTGCAAGTGTACTCTATTATGGTCACACAACAACAAAATTATATGACCATGCAGTTCTCAGAACGAATCCTTGCCTAAGAGATACATGACTGTACTTTTAAACAAGGTAGAGAAAATACTGTGTGTAGAAAGCTCTTGCAGAAGGTTTGAACCACAGAAACTAAAGGAAGATCTGGTTCTATAAGGAGTCTATTAATGTAGTATATATAATGTATTTTAAAATATGCCAAAAGAGCTCAGTGCCTAGAGCTGAAGAAAAAGACAGTGCGTTCATAACATTCTATCTGGGTTATTTTTTTTCTTATTATTTAAACCTACCCTCTGCCTTGCCATCTTTCTCACCTCTCAGGTCAGGAGGCTTGTATATGGGACCCGGGAACCCTTTCACTAGTACCTGGAATAACAGCTGAATTCTGAGGCCTTCAGGGGGAAAGGCGGCCCCCTACCAGTGCTGCAGACATAGTGCTCACCTTTTGTAATTTAAACGCCCAGATGTCAACACTGCCTGGCAGTTCAGGCTTAGCTTCACTATCCTTCCAACCTGAGTGTGCCTTCTTCCAGTCCCCAAATTGAGAAAACAGTAAAGACCAGAAGAATGGGCTTTTGCTCAGTCTGCTTAATCAAATTTTTAAAATGAAAAACATCTCATTTGCCTCTAGTTATGTAAAGAAGAAAGAGGCAGAGGGAGAGGAAAGCAGATTTTCCTCGGTCCATTTGTTCAACACAAAGATAGTCTTTTAGTACCAGCCTGTGTCATTCTCTTGGGAGTGGTAAAGAGGGGGTTTCAATCTGGGCACTTTTATTTGGAAAGATAATCTTCGACTTGTATTTCTAAAATATAATCTGGGCCAATAGGAGCTGATTCATGTGGTCATTGAAACCAGGTTCCAGAAGAGATAATTATAACAAAATGCTATAAACCACTTAGTATGCGTCTAATTTGTAATATTTACCAGATATGCTTTACTGTTCCAAAAAAGGAAAATTAAATATTATTTCAATTTTTCTGTGGCCCCTTGATAACCCTCTAAAATCTCTAAAGCTAGCCTTGAGTTGGTCTGGGCAGAGATTTGTAGAAGTTGGGAATGAGAGCTTTATAGTACCTGGTTTCTGGGGATAGAGGGTGGGTGGTGTCTGGCTTTGGTTCTTTGGAAAACCCTTCAGTTTACCCTGTGGGGACCAGGGCTCCCCATCAGGCTGGACCTCAGACATAGAGTCTGGCAGCATATTGTGCTTCCAGTGTGTCTGATTAACATAGTTGAGCAAAATCTCTTGTGTAGTTTGTAGCAAGAGACGTTGGTAATTGCCTGGCGGATTTAACAGAGATACAACCTGCCTATTTTAGGCCACTTTTGCCCTATTTCTGGATGTGGAGTCACAATTTTCATGAATAATACTAAACCTCTGCATGAAGCCTGCTATTCATGATTAGCATTGAACTTGTCATACAGAAAAAGCCCTGTGACATGATCAGATTCCTGGAAAGTTCATATCTGAATATAACAGACCCAGCAGGAGCCAGGGAGAATGAATATTTAGGGAAAAAGCAGAATCTGGCTGAATGGTGGGCCATTGTGTGGAAACCAGATCTCTGCCCCTTGGTGTGTTATGTGTAGAGCTACAACAAGCAGGAGGCAGACCTGAAGTACGACTCAAATGGGAGCAGAGGGAAATCTGAACTGCTCTTGACCTGCAGAGCACGGAATAGAACTTACCGTTAAAAGAACAACTCAGAGGTAATTGGATTTGCCCCTGAAACTGCTTCTGCCAGTATGTTTCTCAGAAACCCTAAGTTCTCATTGCAGCCAGGAGAAATTCAGACTTCAAAAGCAAATTCCAGTGCCATCAGGTTTAACATGTCTCTAGATCCCACACTTTAGATCTCTAAGGCCTGTTGGTTTGACTATTGAGAGCTGTCTTGTTTGCTGAAAAACATTCCCCCAATTTCTGCAAATCCAGCCATAAAAATTCATCTTTGAATTAGGGACATTTGAATACAGACGAGTATTAGATCATATTAAGGAATTACTGTCAATTTTATTAGCTACGATAATGGCATGGTGGTTAAGTCCTTTAAAATTACAGATACTGAAATATTTGTGGTTGAAATGACATATTTGGGATTTGTTTTAAAACAATCCAGCCCCCCAAAGAGTGACTAGGTGGGGGTGAGGGAAATAGATGAAACAAGAATGGTTTTTAAAAAAGTGGATATTCGTCGATGC